CATTTTTGTAACACATGAAGGGGAACATTTGTGCCAAATTTCAAGTAATTTGGTCTCAATGGGTGTAATGGCCTGGTGAATTGACATGGAACGACTCAACTGTCAGGCTATGAACTTATTGATTACTTATTTCAAGTAGATGCACAAAAGCTCCCACATCTGGTGAGTGGCGAATGCAAATAGAAGGATGATAAAAATTGTTCAGATTTAATTATCATTAAGAAATAATTGCATCGGTTCAATCTTACTGCAAAATATCACAAAGTTTGTTACCAGAATCACTAAATTGATAGATATCAAATTTGCAACAATTAAATCAAGTTGTAGACCTCAGTGATTCTCTGAAGTGATTGTATTTATTTATTATTTGATAGTTTTGTGTTTGTTACACTTGACTACCTAAAGTATAAAGAATCAATTATCGAATATTTTGGAATCTCTTAAATGACGATAACAATTACATAAAAATCAGTGAACAAACAGTAAATAGACACACAAAAATGCAAAATGAAAAATCCTGAACTAGACTAATAGAATACTATCCTACAAGGCTTACTCAAAACATACAAACCCATAAGACCTATAGTGTCCAGCATCAACAGTGTACCCTGTAAATTAGCTAAAGCAATTGCAAAAATCATAACACTATTCCTAGGCACTACCAACCCCACAAACAATATACATTCTGGTGACTTAATCCAGAAGACATGGAAACATAAAAATGGAAAACAAGATTATGGTTAGCTTACATATCAAATCATTATACATTAATATACACATTACAAAATGAAACCATTTCAAAAGATTCAAAGAAAAACTTCTCTGTTCAAAAAATTATACAATTATATTAGTATAAAGCAAGTAAAAGTAGTGTGCTTAAGAAACTTAGTTTTTTTTTTTCTAAATGAATATCCACTATGTATTCTAATTTTTTTTCTTTACAACTAAAACTTTCCTCCCCACTAATATTTTAGATGATTTGAGTGTCATTTCAGTTTAACCCATTAATGAGTACCAGAAAGTTTAGTATTAATCACATGTTTCTAGCTATAAACAAATAATAACAACCATCTCAAAAATAGGACATTGGGCATTAACGGATTAAGGAATTCATTAGTTAACATCAAGATATTTGAGAACCAGCTAAATAGATTCACATTCTAACCCCCGCAACCAAAAAATAAAAATGTTGAAATAGAACACAATCCAAACATGTTCACTGTTTTTACTCAATATGCAACTACTTTCTTATTTTATCAGATAGGATTTATTTATCCTAATTAGTTGCATAAAACCAAAAGAATTAGTGCTTGAAGCTGATTCATGCAATTAGCTCTCATATTTGTCTGCTACAAGTCAAAAAAATGGAAGGAAAAAAAAATCTTAGCTTTTAACATTTAGATATACTTGGATAATCCAAGCAACAATGCTATTTCAATATTTACTTAATACATAAATGAAACTTGCTTGTTCTACTAGTTTACTTAAAGGTGATGACTTTTGGAATGTCAGATGTTTTGTTTTAAAAACATGGTTTTCTTTTTAGGATCTGAAACTGTTCCTTTCAACAAAGTAAAATTACTATATAAAGTTTTACTGAGATTAATGAGCCCTATCTTGATAGAAACAAATCAAAATCTAAAAAGTAGGAAATTTAGAAAAGTTACTGGATCAAATGGAAAAGCCTGGATTCCCTGTTGTCTCAAGACATCCATGTTGTCATGGACATGTAATAGAGAAGTGACAAGTATGCTAGGATTGCTAGATTTTGTAACCATCATTCCAGGATATTCAAATTCACATGAATGATTGAAAAATATATCCCTTATCTAAAATGTTTGATTTACAATTTCTATAATGGCGCTTTCTCATTTGCTTGTAAATGGCAAACTTAAGAAAAAAAAAACCCAAAAAACTTGTTGAGGTAGGTTGAAAAGTCTGAGATTAAACAGATCATATGTAGTAAGCAAGCATGTAAACAGTAACAAAAAAAAAAAAAAAAAAATCCACACACCTAAAGATCACAGTGCAATTTCCATGCAATATGTGGAAGATAGGGATTGAGATTAACGTGTTTCTGGGGGATAACAGTACATTAGTTGGGTACAACTGGCTAGGATTGGAGGGATGATGTTAAGAGGATATAAAATTTTTTTAATTAAAGTTCTATTAGACTTATTCTAAAAACAATGGCTATTTTTTTTTAAATAAAAGGTTTTAATATTCCTAAAGAAATAAGCATTGTAAATATCTTCTTGCCCAATTCTTACAGTAGTCACCTGGATAGGATTAAATTCTTATGTAATTCAAAAGCAGGTTATAGAATAAAATAGGATTTTATAAGAAAAACAAGCAATTGAAAAAATAAATAAAAATAAAACATATATAACAAGACAAGTAAAAAGGAAAACACAGCTCTACCAAGACTGGCCTACTTTTTTTTTTATTCCTTAATTCCAATTTCCATTAATGACCACATTGGAAATGTCAAAAATCAAACAACAACAGTTAGATTGGTCCAGCATGAACTACACTGGATAACCTTGCAATTGTTAAAAAAAAATTATATTCCATTGATGTCAACCCCGACATTACCCAATAAATCCCTCTGCACAAATGTTGAACCAGAACTACACCTACTTTTCTTGTAAACCAATTTTGTAAGAATATTTGCATTAAAATACTGGTTTGCTGTCTATATATTCATACTTAGATCCCTACTGCCAAAAAAAAAAAAAAAAAAATAAAAAATAAAAAAATTATGCTGACAGGTATCACTTTTCAACACCAGAGTTGAAAGGTTAAAACTAAAAATGTTATGATTGTGGGAAAAAATACACAACATACAAAACAGGAGTTCAATTTTTACAGACAATAAATTTATTTACTATTTGTTTATATTGTGTATAACTAAAATACAATTTGTCATTGTGTATATGGATATTATTTATCCTTGCTTCCCAAACATTTTTTATATTAATAATAAGTTATGTTTTAAATGCAAAAATTTCATAATTTTACACTAATATATTATTACAATATTATGATATAACAATATTATTACTGTAAAATCAAGACATTGCATTTTATTTTTCACCATGTGCTAAAAATTTACAAAATTATGTATGCGAGGCGTTCACTGCCTTGTGAATGTGACAAAAATTATCTGTTGTGTTCCTATGCTACAGTATGAGGACATTGGCACAGCATTTCTATCTTCAGTTGGCAGCCCCTGATGAGCTGAGCCTGAAAGATCCTAACACCATCATTGGTCTTTGAGAGTATGCAATATTTGTCCTTGTACTATACACACATATAGGGGGACTTTATGTGAAACCAAAACATGTTAGATCAGACAACTTGGAGGGAAGGATGAAGATGATCAAAATGTAGTATCTATCACTTTCTTAGCTGTATTCCCATACTAGTGCGGAATGCTGTATTCACACTTTTGAACTGTTTATGAACTAATGATGAAGGAGAGTTTTATCCTAGACAGGGTGCAATTTTTTTTTCCTTAGCCACTATCCATACATTCACCCTCACTCGAAACAGACTGTCTGATAGCTTATCACCATGGTGGAGTAGGTAAATAGCAGATCAGAGTGTAGTAACTGCCCACTGTTGAAAAAACACATAAAACATAAATGTGGATCAAACCATGTCATTGGTAATTGTAAAATCTATATTTGGAACATAAAAAATATTTATATAATCTAACATTTCGATTTAAATAATCACTCATACTAATTAAAATTTTTGATTTTATATTTTAATTTAAAAAGTTTAGTTCTGTTGAATTATTTATGTATCAATTGGGCCAATCTGAAAAGTGATACAAAAAAAAAACAAAAAAAAAAACAAATTATAAAGTCTTATTCACAGGTTTTCTCATATCCAAAAAGAACATCACATCAATCACGAGAATTATAAATTGAAATGTTTGTTGTCTTATGAAAAACCCAACAGTAGTAACACTACAGAAATATCTTGGCAACAATTATTATCACCTAATATTAGCTTAGCAACATACATGTATTGTAAACAAAATACACTTTTACGATAAAAAAAAAAAAAATGACTAAGTTAATCTGAAACTAAATCCTAAAGAAAACAGGGGGGAGGGGAAAGGTCTGTATCTGTGGTTGGTTACCAAAGATGGCTGGGTTGATGAATGCCACGTGACATTTACACTGAACTACCACCACCCACCCACCCACAAGGTGGACGAAATGATTCAGTCCTGAGCAAGACTTGACAGTGAAACTGTCCCGAGGAAAGTAATCAAAGTGTTACACACCCACAAAAATCAAAGTAATCAATAATACCTATAAATAGAGTAGAGAATCTTATTCTCGTCAAATTTCTCCGACTAGTACTTTTGGCGCGGAAATTAGACATTTTTTAAATAGACGTTACCTACCTACAACTACCGATTGCCCTGGACGTTAACCAAATAATGGAGGTGGGGGAATCTAAGTTTTCTTACAATTATAATTTTTTTTATATGAGTGCATATTAATTTTTTTTCGACATAGTAATTAATATTTTTATTTTAAGGAAAAGAGTAAAAGATAGAATTAAATAAATTAAAAAGGTAATTTTATTTTGATTCTAACTAACATTTTTCGATCATGTGATAAAAAAACAATTCTTGATGATGTGCTCATATTGTTGATTTATTTTGTATTGTTTTTTTTTTGTTTATTTAAAAAGAAATTAAAAATAATTCACTCATATGGTTAAAAAAAAACTGAGCAAGAAGTTGAAATCTAGAAAAAAAATAACCGACAATTTTTAAAATACGAAATTCCTGAAAACTGAAAAGTCAAATAGAAAAGCAGCAAAAAATAGATAACTGCTGGTTACAAAAAAAAAGTTTTTGTGGGTCACTGAGGTTCATTTTGAAGAAAATCTTTTTCTTTTTTTTAAATACTTAAGTTAAAAAAAAGTAACAAAAAATGTAAATCATCGAGGAAAAAAAAACCTTTATTACTTACTTGCTGCAGCTAAAAAAAGGGTTCCACTTTTAGAGTAATAAGTCCTTCCCCTAAAAATAGAGGGAAATAAACAAAAATCTTAGAAAGAATCCATATTGAAGTGATTATTTAATTGATAATCAATCACAATCCCAAAAATCGATTTTAGCAAAAGAATGTAAATTTACTTTTTTTACGTTTATTTTGGTTAATTACAAGGTTCTTTGAAATTGAATCGAAACAGAGAAATGTTTTAAGTACTTAAAAAAAAGAAATTGTAAGTAAATGTACATTTACCGTGTGTACATTTTTACAATTTCAATTCATATAAGAAAAAAAATATCAGAAAAATTGATTCTGCTCAAGTAAAAAACAATGCTTGCACTCAATCGTACATTTAAATATATATATTTAAAACTTTTACTTTTAGTCAACCATTTGATAAAAAAGACTAAGGCGATATTTGCCGATTAAAAAAATGTATCAAGAAATCTTTTTATCTAGACACCTAAACACACACCTTCACCAAAAACTTAAAACTCACATGGTACCCGAGTAAGTAACACTGTGTTTACAAACAAAAAAAAAAAAAAAATACTAATATACTTTGTATAAGAATTTAAAAACAACAAAAAACGGTTACCTAATATTAAAGAACAAGGGGGTAAAAAATTGAGTGATTAACTAGAGATATTCAGATTTTTCCGAGAACTAAATTTAAATTTTCTTTGAAGACGGTGAATTTCGTTTTCTGGATGGAACACTGAGTGAAGCCAACTGTAATAAATATAAAAAAATGTTTTGCTTTGATCTAAGATTTCATACGAAATATTCTCAAAGAGATATTGAAATAAAAAAAAAGTCTACAACATATTTTACATGAAACAAAAAACTAACAAGAAATTAGATTTATACTTTTTCCTTTGATCGATTTCACTTGGGTACACACACACCTATATTCAACAAGAACGTACGAATAAACAAGTTTAGCTAAAAATGTTGCTTTTCTTTTTAAAGAAAAATAGCCAGAAAAGAGACTGTAAAAAGGAAAAAAGATTTTTTAGTAGTCAAAAGACGAAATTTAATCAATTTTTGCTAAATATGTGTGAAGCTGATTGTGTTAGAAATAAAATTAACAGAAGACAAAGTAATAAAAAAACTAATTTGGAGAAAATATAAACAAACTACCAAATTTAAAAATTAATTACATAAAAAAATATATAAAAAAAACATGTCTAAAAACGATTTTTCTTGAAATATAATAAAAAATATTTTTCTATGTCAAGGAGAAAGAATTAAGGACAAGAACCATCCACGTTTTAAGTTTTAAATTAAATTTAAAAAATCCAATATCCATTTTAAAATCTAATCGTGAAGAAATGCATTAAATGATTTTTTTTTCAGGACATTTTGTGATTAAAAACTTCAATTTTTTTATATAAACATTATTCCATTAAAAGACAAGACTCAAACAAAATAAAAGGTTTATTGCACGATTTCTACAAAAATGAAATGAATGAGAACTACTACAGTACAGTGAGTAATGGTTTTTAAAGGAGGGAAAATATGTCAATTATTCTTTTGATAGTAGGTTTCGAATTCATGAGAAAATACTTAGGAGATAACAACAAATAAATAAAATTTATTTCGACATTTTTAAAACGGCATCGATCGTCAACGATCCTAAATCTGGAATCAAGACAAGAAGCTAGTCTAAAGGTGAAAGTAACACGAACTAGGGTACACTACACTACACATCTTTAGTAGTCTAAATTGTAGTTTAAAGACATACAACAAAGGGGGAAAAATACAACTAATTACTAAACTTCCGTTTTAAACTGGTTAAACACATAACCACAAGTGAAAAATGATATTAAAAAGAAAACCTTAATATTAAACAATTTCATTTAACATCAGAAATGCTGCCATCATTTTTAAACAAAGCGATGTTTACAACCATTCCGAAAAGGTTAAACCGTGACTAATTCCCTCCCAAATAGTGTTGATTTTTCTTTTATAATTTCTACTGTAAACAAAGAGGGGGATAATAATCATCACCTTCAATGAAAGAAATGCTATTGTTGATATGTAGGTTTTTGTGGCTTGCCAACGTGTGGTCATGATTGGGCTAAAAATATTTTAACCCCCACGCTTATCAGTTTCCCTCCTTGAGGCTTTTGATCAGACATCTAATAATAATAAAAAAAAAAATGATGGTAGGGAAAATAAACTAAATATATATATATCAATCAATCTAAAAGCCTCTTGGATTTTTTTCGTAGTCCATGCTTTAGGATTAATTTTCTAAAACCTCCCAAAGAACCCTGATCTCTTTTTCGAGAGAGGCGACAATGACATGTGTTCCGCCATCTAGAGACATCATGCTATCTTTTTTCTGCAGTGCATCGCAACTTTCGACTAGTTATCACACAAAAACACGACCGAATACGAAAACAAGTCGCAAGCAATAATCATCACGTCCATCATAAAGTGACATAAAAATGACAACCGATCAAATTAAATAAAAAATTATTATTATTATTGTTATTACATATATATATATATACATATATATACAAATACCTTACTCTGCTGCATGGACATTATTGTCAAAAGAGGCAAAAATGGCGGCCTATAGTCACAGCCTTCACAGGGTTTGGAAGGTTTGATATTGTACGTCAATAAAATAAAAATTCCTGGATATAAAACAATACACTTATAAAAGTGTACAGACCTTACATATAAAATCGAATTTGGAAAGAAAATCTACAGCAAAGGCCTTGGTATTTTGTTGAACATTACATTTAATTATACACCTCTCAACCCTGGAAAATGAATAAACTATTCCTACTCGAGCAGCTTGTGACGTCATCATTTACAGTTGTAGTTACAACGAGACGTAACTTTGACCAATAACATATTGCAAGGCCTCAAACGAATTTCCAATTAATTTAGATAATTTTTTTTATTTTGTTTTATGTTTGAACTGTTTGAAAAATGATAGTTTTTGTGAAACTTGCTGAATATTAACTAAAGAAAGCTGTATAAATATTTATCAACAACTATATTTGATGTTCACAGCTTTTAAGTTTCATTAAAATATGATACCATTAAACCATTTTATTTATTGTAAAAAGAGTTATAATCATTTTCAAATGAAATAATTGAATATAATACTTCTAATGATGAGCCTTGGTTTTAAGTAAGAATTAAAAGTAACCATATCTCTCTCTCTCTCTCTCTCTCTCTACCCCTCCCTCCATATATATGTGTGTGTGTGTGTGTGTGTGTGTATTAATACCCTTTGGAAAGATATTAATCCTCTTCTCCTCCCTCCAGCTATGGGTAAATAGCAGGACAGACTGTGTTCTATAGCCTTGGATGGCAACTGATCTAGGAGAACTCTGAATTCAAAACCTGCGGAGGGCTGTTTGGGGACCTTGTGGCATATAGTGCACCAAGTTTCTATATTCGGCCCTTCAAAAAGTGTGGTTGGTTCTGCACTAAACCTTCAACACTATAATCAAATCATATGTGCTGGTGTCTGGCAGTCGGTTCCTAGGAACTGAGCTGCTCAACCCTCATACATTGAATACAATGGGAGAGTCCACCAACATATATGTGAATAAAATAGACAAGAGGAAAAACTATACTTAGTTAATCCATTGGCTAAATATAGTTTTCCTCTTGTCTTTTTTATTCATTTTTGTCTCTTCTACAGATACACTCCATTTGAGAACATTTACTCACACACACACATGAACACACACACACACATATATTTATAAATACACACACATATATACATATGTATTTATATATATATATATATATATATATATATATATATATATATGTATGTATGTATGTATGTATGTATGTATGTATACACATGACACAGAGCCAAACAATTTTATATATTTTATAATGGAAAGTGACCAGCCTATAAGCCAAGGAACCATTATATGAATTACCTGAGAAAAATCACTGAACCTTGAAAATATCAGTACACATAACCAGGAATTCTATGCAAATTGGTGAAAGAAGGTTCATGATGGAAATGTTGCTTTTGAGAGTTCTGGGATAGAAAATGGGGAAAAGAAGTATAAAAAAAAAATGTTATGATGTGGAACTTCCAGACCATACAGTGAACAGGAATAGCCTCACCTTGAATAAAGCATGAAAATTGTTTCAGATGTGAAGTTATCATACTAGAGTACTGACCAAAATGTGAAAATGGCATTAAATACTAACAATTCATGTCACATTTGTGTAAAAGTGTGCAAATCAGCTGGTGGGTTAAGAAACATGTAAACATTCACAAAAATAAACTTAATGATAACAAAATATGCATCTCCCTTGTCTACCAACTTTGTACCAGAAGTTCTAACTTTTGTCTGTTTAAAAAGCTATATTTATTTAAGGCACAACTGAGTTTTACAGCCATGTTTTGGGATGGTCATATTCAATATTGAAGTAGCAGCCATCATGTACAGGGTGTATCAAAAATACCTTTACAAACTTTGGGGGCAGTTTCCTCACACCAAAACAAGGACAAAATTTTGCAAATCTTTAATTTTTGAGTTTTTAAGTTTAAAGAAAGTTTATGATAGATGATGCTGTGTTGCCATGTAGACTAGGTTACATTTGTCATTCATGTACATTTGTGGCAAGTCTGTCTTCAATGTTTAATGTGTGTAGTAGTGAGTTAACTAAGAAGTGTTCCATTTAACAAAGGCAGGATATTCATATCATGAGTGGGCAGATATGATTTTTTCATACAGACACATGAATGGTAATGGAAGCAAGGCTGCATGACTGTATCAGTTTGTATGCATTTCAAGACCAAAGGCAGCTGACTCCTCCAACCTTTGCTGCTGTTTATCGTTGCTTTGCTGAGACAGGATCTGTGGTACCACAAACTATAGATCAAGGAAGACCAGGATCCACTTGTATGCCTGATCATGAAGAACATATACCACAATAACATCATCTACTGTAAACTTTAAACTTAATAACCTAAAAAATGAAAAATTGTGAATATATGTTTCTATGGAATTTTGTTCTTGTTTTGATGTGAGGAACCCACCCTAAAGTTTGTAAAAGTATTTTTGATGGTTTATGCCTTTTCCAGGCATCTTATAGGGAAGTGAATGAAACAGAATCAATCAACTTTATATGCCAAAAGCTATTACACTACCAACATGTGATTGCCACACATTACTGAGAGATGCCTCCTCATCTCTTGCATCTTGCCATTTGTTATGGCTTCCACCTTATTTTCTCTTGAGACCAGCATTTGATTTCATAGGTATTGGCTTTTTATGTTAGATAAACTCTGTATCCTTGATTGGGTTGGTTGGATCTGCATTCCCTAAAATTCTCCTGCATACCATTGTAGGAATCCTTTTACTCGGTTTTTCGTTCAATGTTAAAATTTGGAGTGTCGGGATTCAGTACATTAATAAAATATTGTTACAGGGTCGCTCGTAATTTGGCCGTCTAAAATAATCAAACGCTTTTCATTGAAGGAATAAAATTCAGTAGAAAAGACAAAGTAGTTTCAACAAATGAACATTGATTTAATATAACGATAGGAATACAAACAGTTGATAATAGATTGGAAAGTAATATCTTTTGTTTGGGTTGATAAAGTTCTGAAATAAAATATAAACTGTCTTTGTTTACGTGTGTGAGAAACAATAAAATGTTGTAATATGTGTGTTTGTATGAAAAAGTCAACATGTGTGTGCGTGATTCATAGTAAAAACAGATACGAGAGATACGAATTGTTTCTTACTGTTGGCGGTGTTGCCGTGGTCTGGAGTTTGTCAACGCTGTTGTTTTTAACATGAGGTCATGAAGGTCATCAGTGTGTGTAGTTTGCTGGCAGCCATGTGTATATTGTTTTGGGAACGGATTTCATATGTTTTTTATACACTTTTTCTGAATAATATCAGCTCCAGAATTAAATTATTTATTTATTCCTAATTGGCCCTAAGAAGTCACGTGGTATGTCTTCTACTACGTCCATACGATATTTGATCGGTATCTACCTAAAAATAATGATGACTAATACAACAAACATTCTGATTTGTAATCTATGATTTTATTGGTGTGTTTTAAGATATAAGTGTTTTCTTGAGTGTGATTGGTTTATAAATATTATAGTTGATATTTTAGTGGACATGACACCATCATGTGCCTTCTTAGTCTTGATGATTATCTGCAAAGCTTGTTGCAAACAACATACATCCATTCTTGGAACAAAATCTATCAATTAGAAGTTTTTTTTTAATTTTGTCATTTACTTATCCACTATAAATATGATATATGTGGCATCTGTTGGTCCTGAGAGACCATGAATCTGTAATCCAAAGGGTTATGCTTCAGCTGCCTGATGGCAGTGCAGTATCTGTTATGACTGTACAGGCCTACATGGGAGTGTGGAATCTCCCACAACACAACCAGCCTTACCTCTTTGTAGGAAATGCACTCTTCCTATCTGGTAAGCCAAATTCTACTTTCAGACAATATAACAAGTATTCATTGGTCAATCACCTCCAATCTGGCTTGCTGATTGGTCAGTTCCGACCAATCAAACCGCCTGCATGCGACCAATTTGTTTTCCCGCTCATATGCTGGGAGCCACTCAGCCATTATAAAAAACCGAACATGTGTGAACCTTTCAAGTAGTAATTACCAAGTTTCAAGATGTAACCTTCACCGGCTCCCATCTTAGTCATTGCTGACCAGATAGGAAGAGTGCATTTCCTACAAAGAGGTAAGGCTGGTTGTGTTGTGGGAGATTCCACAGGAGTAACAGTCTCAATTTCAATGTTTTCCGTTGACATCACTGTTTTGTCTTCTTACTGTCGAGCCCACTTATCCCTATCAGCAAGCCTTTGTTTCTCTTCTCCTCACTCCAGCCCTCAGTGTAAATCACATTTCCAGTATGAGTGATCATTGGCATTGACAATGTCTTCACACCTCTTAATATCCATGTCCATCACCCTCATGTCCCTTTTGAAGACATCCTTGAAATGACGATAAGGTCACCCTCATGCAGGTGGCCAGTTCCCTGTATTTTTCTTTGATTATTATATTATAATTTTTATTATATTATTATGCATTTATAATCTTTAATTATTAAAATTGTTGTAATGGAATCTTCCACTCTCTCTAGTGCCTATTGTGGACTGACTATATCAGTAAATATATATAGTGTGCACAGGACATACCTGAGACTGGCTTCGGGAATTGCTAGCCTGCTAACCGATTCCCTGTCTTAATTAGTGTATTCTCTTTTACAGTAAATCTCTCTTTCTTTCATCTACGCCCATGTTGCTGTTCTTTTC